AGAATTTATCCATTTCAATGTTTCAGTCAGACGAAATGCTGGAGACAGTGTTCAAGGAGTGTGGAAAGGAATATGCCTTAAAGGGAAGATTTACAAAATGGAAACCTTATGCCATTACTTTGTGTTTATATGAACAATGAAATATAAATTTTAAATTAAAAGAGGAATAAAATGTGGTCCAAAATTAAATTCAAAATTTGTAAATAAAAGGATGTAGGGGATTCATGGAAAGAGAGTTGGAGAGATATTACAGTATGGGAAATGTTATAGATTATAAAGATGTTATAGAGTTGGGAATAAAATATAGAATTAGTTACAATGTCGACATTTCAAGATTTATAGGGGAGTAAATATTATGGAAATATATATATATATATATATATATATATATATATATATAATCCAAATTTATCTATCTATGTCAGTCTGATCCTTTTCTTTTTTTCTGTTTGACTCTGGTGTTTCTTATTTGTCAGTCTCTCTGTCTCTCTATCTATCTACAAATATATATATATATATATATATATGTATTTATCTATCTATCTATCTATCTATCTCTCTGTCTGTCTGTCTATCTATCTATATATATATATATATATATATATATATATGTGTGTGTGTGTGTGTGCGTATATATATATATATATATATATATATATATATATATATATATATATATCAGTCTGGTCCTTTTCTGTATGTCTCTTTTTCTTTGTTTTGTTTTTCTTTCTTTCTTTCTGTCTATCTCAGTCTGGTCCTTTTCTATCTATTTATCTATCTACCTATCTACCTATCGATCTACCTATTTGTGTGTGTGTGCCTTTTTATGTTTGGACTTGTATCTTAGGCAAAAATCAAAACAAAATTTAACACTGTAAATGACAACACTGGTTTCAAACTAGAAAATATGCCAATCAGTTTAAATAAAACTCTAACTTACTTTCCGATAAAAATTCGAATCTGTTCTCCAATGGATCGATTAAAACGATCCTATCGAATGTTTCTGGATTTCAATCGGCTTAGTTTTCTTTTTGCCGCTTTAGAACCCGTCTAATTTATTGAAACATTTTTTTTTTAGTATAGCCTTTTCTTTCTGCCTCTTGGTTTATTATTTTCTGACACGTCCCTTTGTCTTTATTTATTTACTTCAGTTCGCCTCCCGCATTCAAGAAGATGGCCTTTCTTATCATATTCTAACCGTGTTTCTCTTAAAAACAAATCTCAAACAGAAATACAAAATATATCAAAGGTGCTAACGAAAAAACAATGAAGAAAGAAAACATACAGCGAAGTTTTAAAAACACGAAACTAATTGGATTTCGTTTCGGTTGTTTAACGATTTTGCCCTTTTTTGTGTAACGTTTTATTGCGTCAGTGCGATAAGGTTTTTGTTTTACTTGTCTTTTATTTTAACTGTTAACTTGTGATTTTACAAAGATAAAAAGCAAACTTTCGATCATTTATTTTTCTTACTCTTTCTACTAACACTCCGTATCAATGTTTCGTTTCAGGTTTTACTCTTCTTATAACATTACTTCAGTTGTTTTGCATTTCAACAAGTAAATCTCATTAAATTTATATTTATTTATATTCATTTGAATTGCAAGCATTTACTCTTGTTTTAGTTTGGCATAAGAGCAAAGTAGATTGCTCATTTTTTCTCATTTCTCTCAGAATTATTCTTCAAACAAATTATTCTTCACCAAATCACAAAAGTAATATCCCTGAATAGGCTACTACTAAACTGAAGTTGGTAAAAATAATCAATATTTATATTTTAGGAAATTAAAATGTTAACAATAGTTCAAATGACTAATTTGCTTTCATGAATATATGTGTAACACAATCATTTACTAATGTATTGTCTGGGATAAGAGGCACGGTGGAGTAATGGATAGCAGCTCGGATTGAGGTAATCGGAGAGCTGAGTTAGAATACCAGTCGAATCCATTACATTCACTTACGAGATAATGAATCCTCTCTATCTTCCCCGGCTATGGGTGAAAAGCAGGACACACTGGGTTCTATAGACTTGGGTGGCAACTGGTCTAGGAGAAGAGCAACTTGGGGTTGTGCAGTAGGCTAACAACCTCCTCACTTAAAAACAGGTTTACTGCGGCCCTATGTTTCTCAAGGAATTTAAAGGCATAATATATATGGTGTGGCACATGATATATATATATATATATATATATATATATATATATATATATATATATATATATATATATATATACTAAAAACTCAATTTTTGAAATAAAATACATTACTTAACAACGTAGGATCGAAGAAAAATACTATGCCAAAGAAAGTGAATAACCAAACGACAAATATAACCTGCTTAAGATAAACCTTTCCAACAATTCTAAACACAATGCAATCATACATGTTCTAGACACATACACCCTTGCGCGAATTAACTGATACAACCTTCTTTTCTTTCATCATATGGTCAGTTTTAGACCCATTGGCGTGTCAGTGTGTAATCATTTCTTTATTTTTCTCAAATTAGGTCATTTGGCCTTGAAATATATTGCGTCGTCCGCGAATGCATCAGATTTTTATCACGTCCAAACTCTATTGTCTCAATTCTCGATTAGTTGTCCTATTGCCATTATCGGCGGTGGACGTTACTCCAAGGATACGTATGAAAATTGTAACGCTGCACGAACACACTGACAAGCCTTACGAGTGTGCAAATCAAAGTCCTATAGACTGGCCCGGAATCTCTCACGATTTAAATCCAACTGAGAATCCGTGGTCAATCTGCAATGAACGACTTCGTGGAATGAAGATACAAGATCATGTTTTATTATCATGTTTAAAAATGAAATAATAACGGATTTTTTCTTTTTGTTTTAATGAATTTGCACAAACGTGTAGCTTAGTTTGTTGAAAGTTTTCCAAATGTATAGGATTGTTTGGAGACTAAACACTAGAAGAGAGATTGGGAAACGTGAAAGATTTAGAGTGAAAAGCAATTGCTCTATTGGTGATCATTTTCCAAAATTTATTTGAGTTTTTAACGTATTCTTCATGATATTTGCAATGATATTTATTTCTTTTAAATGCATATTTCCTTATTTTAATACGACACAAAATAAAGCGGAAGAAGTAATACTGAGTATTTGCTATGTCTCTGCTCTTCTAAATGCGGATTGTTGAAACCGAATTTGAAACACTGACATTTTCATGTTACGTTAAAATTAAATTAGAACCAAACTGACCTACTAACCTATGTCAGGTAAGTTATAAAACAGATATATTTATTCAGCTCCTCAGTAGAATGACACAAAATTAGTACAGAACTTAATAGAGAAGTGGATGATCTGTACAGCTAACTTGTTAAATTATCGATCTATGAAAAGTGCATAGTGAAATTAATTGTTTTCATTGATTTCAGTTTGAAACGTCTATGACATTTGCTTTCTCTTTGTAGGTCAAATCAGAAAAAATGAGAGTGGGCGTGTTTTGTACCAATACTCATATATTTCAATGTTAACCTCTGGTACCAAGTGGAAATGTCCAACAACGCAATATAATAAGCTGTCTATATATAAAATGAAATATAAAAAAATAGAGAAAGAAGTATATTCGAACGTTTTTCTCTTTCCTCCTTTGAGAAACAAGATGACATGTCTAGCACAATAGGTGAAAAGAGAGTTTAGCTGTGATAATGTAGCTGTGACTGGCAGAAGGATTGTTAGTGCAACGCTACTAAGGATAAGAAGGAAGTTGTTAATTTCTAACATGTATCGGTGACACGCGAAAACTGTGGGTGACCAATGGTGAGAAATCAAAGCGAATGCAGGCGCTTGTTAATGATGATAACCATCTTTTCTTTTCTTATTAATCATTTCAAGGTATTTGGTAATTCCACTAGTAAGCCGACCTTAGAACAGGGAGGATTGAGGAAATAAGAAAAGTTTAACAGAATCCAAGAAGACAGAACATAGCGATTGATGTTGCATTTAAATGTTTGAAGATTGCAGTTATTAGAGGAGCAAGGAAACTGAAGGAATGTCCACAGGTGAAATGTGCGAAAAAAAGCAACTGTTGGAGGAGAAGTGGTGGATGCATTTTCCTATTTCAACTGTAAAAGGGTGCGACTTACGTGTCAATCCAGTAGCATGCTTAAATTCATTTACTCGGAATCCAGAAAAAAAACGCTTCAGGGCAGTTGCCATGAATATATTTCTAGAGATAACAGAGGTAAGCAACGTAGTGTCTGTGAGAATGTGACCACAATCAAGATAGCTTATCAGGATCAAGTACATAAGAGTTCCTTCTTTGGAATTTCGATCTACCAAAGAGAAACATATTCCAATCCAACACTGATATCGCTCAACGGCTTAATCAACACATTATAAACTTAAGTCAGTGTTAATTTTTAAAGGCCTACCAAAATGTGACTTCATAACGATGGTGTCTTATAACCTAATCATAGGTTTGATAATACCACGAAGACTGACTCGATAGATGCGTGGCGGAGACTGCAAGTGGTTATGGATCTAACCTCTCAGCTGCGTGTTGGGAAAACAGGTGATGACTTGTGTAATTGTGTCGTATCTGTTCTTTTCGATTTTGAAATGACCACTAGCGAATGTTGAGTCTGTTGTGATACGTAAGACATACACAGCAATACTTCATCGTGCGCTGCAAAAATGATTTCCAAAACTTATAGGCTGAAAAGCGGCACTCAATCTTGCTACATTTAAATCCCGTTGAACGTGTGTGGGTTATATTGATCTCCTCCTCACTGTGTTGTTATCACAGCCAACGAACACCATGAATTAATGTTGGGATAAGCAACGACTTCAGAAACTTGAAGAAGTGTTATTATGTAGTTCTTGAAGATTATGTAGTACTTTTCTTTAGTTCTTTTACCAGGTTTAGTTTAAAATAAGACACAAACGTTCTGAGTAATGTTTTACCAGTCGAGTTTGGTAACGATGTTTCGTAGCATGTAATTAAAGTGAAGGAAAAATAGCAAATGAAATTTAAGGGGAAGCAGGAGGGGGAAGAAGAAAGAAGAAGAAAAAGAAGAAGAAGAAAAAGGGGGACGCAGGAAGAAGAAGAAAAAGAAGAAGAAGGGGGAAGCAAGAAGAAGAAGAAGAAAGAAGAAGAGTGTCAAAAACAAAAACAAAAAAAATGAGCTCTTTTTCAGCTCGACAATCTGCACTTTTCCCACCGCTTTAATGAGAAATGCATTCCCAGTGGAAAACCAACAAGAAAGACCAAGATCAAGAACACGTTATATACCTCCGGGAGAAGAAAAAACAGAAATGAAGATTTGTGTTTATTTGTCTTTTAAGAGAATTGTTCCGACTTGAATAAGATTGCCTGGCACATTTCTCACGAGTGACTTGAGATCTGCAAAGCAGGTTGGGCTGCTTATCTCTGTCGGAATTGCTATTTCTTATCAAGTTCAAAGTTGGGATGTGTGCAGTAGGAAATCCACATTTAGATAGCTCGGCAACGTGCCAGTGAAACAGATAGTAACTTACTGGAGCTGATCGTTTCCGTGCGAATGTGTGCTTTTCATTTGGACAAAGATGAATCAAAATATCCATACTTTCATTTACTTGTACTTATGTTCACTTGTTTCGACGTCAACATAGAAACAAGTGAGCATGAATTCTGGCACATGAACACGAATCTGAAACACGGGAGGTTAGATATTGAATGATAATTGTAATACATTCCATATTTAATCACTTTTGTGGACCACGTAAATCTAAATCAAAATAATATTAATGGCTAATCGGTACTTGAACTATTCTCCTTTATGTTTCGATGTTCTTTTACATCATCAACAGAGGTATTTCTGTAAAATGTCAATAAATTAGGGAACGAAAAGTGTAAGAAAGAATCTAATTTAACGAGCGAAAGATGAGTCTTTCTATGTACCACAGCATTTCAGGTTATGGGTGACCACACTTTTCTGTCCCTGTTTATATGAATACTTTCTCATTTGCAGCGCACTTTCGTTGTTTTCTGAAACTACTACTCCAATAGATTTGCTGAAATCTATCAAATAGTTTACTCGTTGATTTTCTTTTTGTTTGCTTTGTCTTCAAATTTCAAAGAAGTTCGGATTTGTAAATTTTTATCATCTCAGCAATCTCGTTCGGATTGTTAGCAATAGTTTCTCATTAAAATTGCTTTATCTATCGTATAACCTGGCAGAAATATGCCCAAGTCATTTAATTTGTGATAAAACTGTATAAAATACAGTGATAAAACTGTATAAATTACAGTGATAAAACTGTATAAAATACTCTGCATTTGATTCCTAATATATTTTCACTTTATTTTTAGTTTATAATCCTGTATCAATTTGCTGTTTTTGAAAATAATTCCAAGAGGTCCTAAATGATTCATATTGCTTTCTGAATCTCAGACACTCTATTCCAAGGCAAGAATTCAAACCTCTGTCTAACCCGATTTAACCAACATAATCTAAACCTCATGGGCATTGGTGTTTGGGGGAGAGTAAAACAAGGATGGCAGAGACCCCACAAAAGTCTATCCCGATTTCCCATTCCCGTGACTTTCTCTGCTCCCTTCGTGTAATCGCCATTCATCTTTACTAATTTTCATTCTGAGAATGATAGAAATAAGATGTTTGATTAAATAGCTGGGATTGATTGGTCGATTTCTTTTTTACAGCTTATCGACCTTTTGCAGGTTATTTAAAGACAGAAAATATTTTTCATTGGAATAATTTCTTGGAGATAATAATTATCTATTCCCAAGCTGTCACCCATCCTGATACTGACCAGCCTTGACATTGCTCAATTTCGTTGGTCCTACGTGCACCGTTGTTTCAACGTGATAGGGCCACACGCCCGGCTTAGCTGGGAAATTTGACGTTATCCTGTCTCATAATCCTTCATCTAGCATTCAAATAGGCGGCAATTTCATGACTAAGACTGCTTAGTTCATTAAAATAAAATCCATGAATATGGTAGATATTACTTGGACTTCGCAATAGCGTACGCGCTGAATCAAATTTTGGATTAGTCTACACGTGTTCTCTATGAAAATCATCTCAAAATAAACTTCTGTAATGTCATTTATCTTGATCTCTTCCCGTTTCTCTCTCTCTCTCTCTATCTCTCTCTCACTCTCTCGACTGTGTCAAGATTGATGCCAACCAAAATTTTGATGTCCCATTTTATAGAATATATTTTGATATTCCAAAAATAAATTGGATAGTTTGATATGAACCTCTTCTTACAATGATTTTCAAAATTAAATCACCCAGAAAAGCTCGACATAATTCTGAGTGGATTCTTTCTAGTAATGAGTGATTTATTCTTCTCACAAAATATCACCAAAATCCGAAGACTTACCCCTACTATCAGCCTGAAGATGCTGATTCCATACATCGCTGTAACCATTGCAAACAAACCCTATCACCGTGAACATTCAAACCGTTCAGAAGTCACAAACAATGCAAAATGTTCTGGAGATTTAGCACTGCACAGTCAGTCAGTCCAAGACAAAGTTGAAAATAAAGACTTGGTACCCGCTAATTCTGGAAGACGACTAACATGATTATTAATAGAGACCAATTGTCTGCATCTACCTTTTTGAATGCCTCTTATGTTCTTTCATCTTCAGCAGACAAAGCTAAGCTCTTAGCAATTAACTTTGCCTCAAACAACACAAACAGGGCCATCTACAATTTAACTCGTCATCTTCACGGAGTACAAGCTTTATAACTCACCATCTTGATTTGTAATTTTCTCAAACTCTTCAAAAAATGTAACTTTATTAATGTCTAAGGAATAAAATCCATGTTGCTATATTGAAGATCCTTAACCCTAAGCTATTTCCAAAATTGTCAAATTTGTTTAAGTGCTACATAAAGCAGAATCATTTCCCCAATGTATGGAATGTTTTAGTAGTGATCACTGTTTTCCAAAAGGCTAGGGATACCAATGCCAGCAGCCTCCTTAGTATAATAAGAACAAATTATTTCTATTATCAACTTAGGATTCTTTCGATCACTTCACCAGAAACAACCTTCTGAGAGAAGAATAGTTTGGATTTCGCACATTTGGGTTAATCTTTTATCATCACACACAGAATCAGCTTAATAAAAATTCTTCATTTCGAGAATTTAGGTATATTAAAATATTTGTGAGTGTAGCATTGGCGGTTGCTACACAAAGTTTCCAGCTATACCAATTCTGGAAGAGTCGAAGCAGTTTTACAGTTCTTTTCACCATAGAGAGATCCATGTCAGATTTAGATTAACGAATCATTGTTTTAAAGTAAATGAATAACTAATACACTCAAGATTCTTCACTTCATTCTCGCGAAGTTTTTTCGCGGGCACATTGCAGCTAATCGAGAATAAATGACCATTATTTTCTGCGTCATGAATTCATCTTTTTTAAACTATTGATATGGGAACGTTTTTTATGAGAAAAATATTAAAATGGATGTGATTTCTAGGTTCTTCTTATTCAGGATTTTCCAACAATAGTTTCGATGTCTGTTGTGGAAAAAAAGGTATTTTTCTTATAATTACTTGATCGATTTGATATTTTTGTCAAAAGAGAAGCTGCGCATCTTCCATTAAAAAATTCCCAATATATTTTGCACTCAGAGGCACAACAGAAAATTATTTAATTTGTTTAAATCATACAAGTTTAAGAAAAATCTTTCTTTTCTTCTCAGAAAATCAGTTTGACATTTTCCCCGTATCGCGGTTGTCACACGCATCCTGAAATTATTCCCAAAGTCGATGACCTTCTGCCGGGCAAACAATCTACTCTATCTCTAATTTCCGACACACGATCATTGCCGGCCAGCAATTGAAACAGAAAACTTATATATGGATTCCCAACAGAAATGACCAAGTGAAATGACTTCTGGCTCTTCAATCTGCCGAGCGGGGAATAAAGCTCTTCAAGTTACGGTCAGAACTGAAATCGACAATATCCCTACAGCTGAAGCCTCAGAAAAACGTAGAATGAAAAATTACTGCAAATACCAAATGCTTTATTCCATACCCGGCCCATTACACATATTATGCTTTTATCCTCATCATTACTGGTGTCAGACGATAATCTTCGACCTACTTACTAATATCCTCTTTGCCGTAAATACAACGAGTTCAAGTGTAAGATTTTGTGGGATTATTTTTCGATCACGCATTGATTTACAGAAAAGTGTTTTTCAAATTGCCGAGACCATGAGAAGATTTCCTGAATGAAAATGAAAGAAATATTAAACGAGAGAGAAAACTACGATTTCGATGATGTTATGGAAGTTGAAGTGTTTTAGAGATTTTTCCTGACGAAATCAAACTTATCTGGCTTGTGAAGAACTAGCGACATATTTCGATGAACTGAAGAATGTTCCATAGTATGACACGAACTATTCAAACAGCATTCCACAAGTGAGTATTCAGTGTCTTCCTTCTCCTCGGCTTATTTCTATCCAAGACAAGAGAGACAAGTTTGTCCAGATATTTAACCCATAGATTGGCAAAGGAAATTATTAGTCGGAGAAGAAAATCTCTTTGGTAACACAACTGCATGAATTTAAACAGCAACTTGGTCTTATCTTTTTAAGCTTGAAATAATATTTAACCGTAATTTCACTTCTAAAAGTTTCTTTACTCGAACTTCTCAACGACGTATCTCAAAACAGATTTATTGCTTAGTTAAAATAAGTAAAAAATAAGAAAAAATATAGATAAATCAATCCAAGTAAATAAATAAATAAATGAACAAATTAACATATCGCTCCCGCTAAAATAACCGTTAGAACAAATTAGAAATGAAAATAAATAAGCAAAAACAAGACAAAATATTCAATCCAATTATATATATATATATATATATATATATATATATATATATATATATATATATATATATATATATAAGTCAGAGTTAGTGAAAACAGAAATAGTATTAAGTAAAAAATTACTAAAAACAAAATACCTGGACCAACAGCACTATATTAACAAATCTCATGGCTTCAAGTTTTAATATCTTCTAATAGCCAACATTTCATTATTTTCTTACCCAGAAAATGTCACCAAATCTAATCATTTGTCACCTTAATAATAAAAGTCGTTGACCAAATCGATAAAAGTAATCAATGTAAAAATTAATCTAACGAACTCATCTACACCCCTCTTCTCACATACAATTACATAAAGCACT